GTCTGCCTTCAGCAATAATTCCATCAAGTCTGTTTAGCCAGAACCCCCTCCCTTATCCTTGATGTTTCCTCTTAGCAATTTTCCATCCACTGACTCCCACCCTGCACCTGGGCCATAAACGCCCCAACTGGTCCATGCTGTATTCCGAGTTGAACCCAGTTCTCTACTGAGGGCTCTCTCCCCCTATTGCAATGGTTCCAGAATAAAATCTGTTTTTACTGTCCTAATGACTGTATGTCGGGTGTGTCCTCTTAAATTGTTTTCTAAAATTACCCATTTCATGCTTCTAGGGATGATCTGGTTTTCTTTAACAATTTTCTCTTGTTATTTATGTAGATCTTTTTCAACATAATTTTTCACGGCAGATGACATTCTATCATATGGATGCATCATGATTTATTAAACGTATCCTTTATTGTGGGCTAGTCATCCATTCTTAATTTTTCACTACTTCAAGCAATCTTTTTAAAGAGTATTGCATATTGAATCCTAACTTATAGCTCACCACAGAGAAAAAGGATATGAAACGTAAAGTGAATCTTCAGAATGCTAATTTTATGACTGTGTGACAAGTAGCTAATGGCTATTCATTTAGGCTGATGACTTTGACAGGAGCAAAGATAGAAACAAACCAAAACTCTTTACAGAAATTTATATGACAGCCTGAAGATGGTAGTTGCTTTGGTAGGTTTGGAACAGTAAGTACATCAACCAACTAAATGATAGTTCATTGAATGTAAAAGGCATTTATTCATTCAATCTAAAATAATAAGATGTACCATTTAGTTTAGGTTCTATTAAGAAAGGGGCGGGAACACTGCTAAGAATCACATGATCTTGTCATTTGTAAACAGCATCCTGGTTGTTCCAAAAACCAAAGGCCCCAGGAAGAAAGTCTTGCTAAAGAGATGGTGGGCAGGAATTGGATCTGGGTTGGAAGGGAATCAGCAAGCAGCCAATTCTAAGGTAGTTTCACCCTAAACCCAAGGCCTGTATTTAGAATATTTCAAATAGACACCCTATGACTTTGATGAAAATCAAGTTGGCAGCTCCAGAGAAAATCAGCCTGGGATTGCCAAAGCATGATTATTTTATTAGATTGCATGTTATCTTGAAATGGTAAAATAGGCCAGGCGCAGTGGCTCACACCTATAATCCCAGCACTTTGGGAGGCCGAGGCTGGTGGATCACCTGAGATCAGGAGTTCAAGACCAGCCTGGCCAGCATGGTGAAACCCTATCTCTACTAAAAATACAAAAATTAGCCGGGCTTGATGGCACATGCCTGTAGTCCCAGCTGCTTGGGAGGCTGAGGCAGGAGAATCACTTGAATCCAGGAAGTGGAGGTTGCAGTGAGCCAATATAGTACCACTACACTCCAGCCTAGGCAACAGGTGAGATTCCGTCTCAAAAAAAAAAAAAAAAGAAAGAAAGAAAGAAAGAAAGAAAGAAAGAAGAAGGAAGAAGGAAAGGAAGAAGGAGGGAGAGGAAGGAGGAGGGAGGAGGAGAGAGGAGAGAAGGAAGGAAGAAAGAAGAAGGAAAGAAGGAAAGAAGAAAGAAGGAAGGAAAGAAAGAGAAAGAAAGAAAGAAAGAAAGAAAGAAAGAAAGAAAGAAAGAAAGAAAGAAAGAAAGAAAGAAAGAAAGAAAGAAAGAAAGAAAGAAAGAAAGAAAGAAAGAAAGAAAGAAAGAAAGAAGTGGTAAAATAAGCCTGTGACTTGCCACACGGTGGTTTAGTCCATCTCACCTACTCACTGCTCCCTGACTTTACCAGGCTACTTAGCTCCTCTGTGTACTTTCCAAAGTAGTTTTCTCTGCCTGAAACATCCTTGTTCATCCAGAAAATACAACTCAAGGCTTACCATCTTGGGGAGACTTTCCCTGACCTCCTCACCAAGGAGGAGCTGGAGCTGCCAGCCCCCCGAAATAGACCACTCCTTCCTTAGACCTACCGCTAACTATACACCCCACTTCTGGGTAAACTAGGCCCTCTCAGACCAAAACAGCTTGACAAAGACAAACCTGGCACGGGGCTCTTCGCTTGGTGTTGCTGACTCTAATAGCCAGAATCTTGCCTGATTGTCAAGCAAGATTGTCACGGTCTGGTAACAATAAGCTTACCCTGCGGGCTCTTTAATTCTGAATGTTTTGAAGATAGTGAAAGGATTTGATGAGAAAGGCAGAGCCCAAATGAGTTCTACATACATTTTACTAAAAAGCCCACTTTATCCTATTCAAGGCAACCACCAGGCTAGGGAGTGTCCTCAGATCAGCTGTCAGTTTCCCTCCCTCTGAAGCAGTAAAGAGCCTTCACCTTAGGGAGTGGGTTGTTCAGGCATGGCCTTCTCTCCTCCAGCTGGCACTCACAGTTCCTCCAGTCCTCACCTGTGCATGCCACGTCTTATTCTGCATTGCCAGTTCTCAGTTACCGAATCTCTGAATTGTTGAGTTTGTTTTTAAAACTGTTCTTAAAACCCAACAAAAACCCTCCCTTACTAACAAGCCGTGCAAGGAGCTTGGGTCTGTTTGTACAGCCCAGCAGCTTTCTCTCTAATCTGGGCATGAGGATCTCAGACTCCCAGTGTTCTCTCTGCCTGGGAGGATCATTTCAAATTCCTTTTGGCGGGAAAGGGAAGTTCCTACCGGGAGACTTGACAAGAAAGGATCAATTCGTTCATTCCTCAGCACCCACAGCAACTCAAGAGCTTTACTGTTTAACCACTTTGTGCCCACTCGTCTGTAGACACCAATAATCTTAATCACACTGTGTTTTAATTAAGGATTCCCATATATATGTGTCTGGAAGTCCCTGGAAACCTGGAAGCATGTCTTAATTATCTTTGAATTCACAGCATTGAGCACAGTGCCTGCCACCCTCAATAGGTATTAATTTAAATGAATAACTGAATGCGAAAATGAGGTGGATTCAAACTGCATCTGCTTTGTGAAGAGATCTGGAGCACTGAAGTTCGAGCTGATAACACTCCCAGACTCTTGTCTCCATTGTACACCATCCTGTGTGATCACCAGTTGCTGAAAACATGCTCCTCTTTGTCCTTTGGTTTCTTTCTCTGTTCCCTTTTCTCACTGTTCCCCATTTCCATCTTCTCCCCAACCTCCAAAAAGCACATAAGATTTAAACGAACAAATCATCTATCTACATAAAGTTTGTTCGGAGATGGCATCACACCCTAGTAAAATCGCTTGGCACAGTTAAACAGCTGAAGTGAGATTGTGCAGACGGTGCAGGAATGCAGGAAATAAACAAAGGAAAAAAGCAAAGGCCTCCAGGTTGAGGTCTTTGGGAGACAGCCCATTGTCAGCTGCCTCTGCCACCACTTTTTTTTGGACAGGATCTCCCAACATTATCCAGAGCACACATGACGGAGCCTCCTCTGTTGGGGTGCCAGAGCAGCTTCTCACTGTCACCCCCACAGCCATCTTTCTCAACAGAAAGCATCCCCTGGTACAAAGCAATCTGGGCTTTTACCCTCGGAGGATGGACAACTTCTGTCTGTGATGAATCCTACCAAGCCCCAGTTACCAGGTGTATCAGTCAGAATGGACAGGCAAAGTATGCTTTATAACAACCCCCAAATCTAAGAGGCTTAAAACAACACAGGTTTGTTTTATATCACGTGTGCATTGCAGACCTGCTGCCATGCACCTCTTCTCCCTCCAGGATCCAGGCTGATGGGGCCAATCATCGTCAGTGTCAGTGACAGAGGGCAAAAGGGGAAGAGTGCAGTGAATCCCACACCATCTCTTAAAGCTTCAGACAGGAAATGACAACCATCACTTCCACTCACATTCCATTGGCCAGAGCAAGTCACTGGCCGTGCCTGTATTCTAGTGGGTAAGGAAAGGTATAATAAAACTATCCCATGCCCGTGTGAGCCCCAATGACCAGCACACACTGTGTCTTCCATGAAGTTGGAGCCCAATTAATCTATGTTTAACAGGAGAAAAAAAAAAAAAGATTAATGTCCCACTAGGGAAAAGGTAAAGAAAGGAAATGAAGCAGGAATATGCAAGACGAGAAGGGAGATAAGTACAGAGATGCTCTATGCAAAAGAAAGACTGACCCAGGGGAAGGGCCCAGGAGTCCTGAGTGAGTGGAGGTAGCTTGTCCCCTGTCTAGGGATCGGGAAATGAAACCGAAAAGGACAGAATTATGGAAAGAGACAAAAAGAATATGGTAGCAGCCAGAGGTAGAGCAGAGATGGTGAAAGAGGACATTTAGAAAGTCTTGTTATGTGGGATATGCTATGCCCTCTTCCGGCAGCTCCCCCTGCTTTAGGAGCGTGATTTGTGGGTTTTGAAAGTGACAACATGCTGAGGCTGGTCTCAGGGCAGGCACCAGGCAAGGCCAGAGTCTGCCAAGGAGGACCAATTACTGTCTACAGGCCAGAGTCAAGTTTCATTTTGTTTTGTTTTCCTGATCTGGCTCCAGTGGATCCATCCCTCATCCTCTGCTGTGTCCCAGCCCCAACCCAGGTGCATGCACTGTGCTCTACCCCAGGGCCACACCGGGCCTGTTCAGCACTCCCCTGCTTTTGTGTCTTGGTGCTTATTGTCTTTACCACCTCCTCAGCCCCAGCCTCAATGTCTCCCACATTTTCTTCCACCTCTTCCACTCTCGAAATCCTCCCTGCTCATCAAGCTCCGTCTCAGAGACCACCAGTTCCCTTGAATCACCAAGTCAAGCTGCTCGTCCTCTCTGTGCCACAGCCGTCCCCCTCCTGGAGGAATGCCGTTATACTAGAATTACTGTTGACATGCTGTTGCCCTTGAAAGACCATGAGACCCTGGAAGGCAGGGGATCATTTCTACTCAGCTTCCATTTTTGTCCCCAGCTCCCATGACAGGATTGCATCATGACCACGATGATGCTAATAGGAACAATCGTGACAGATGAGGTTGGTGCTGGGCCCTCTTTGAAGGGCTCAAGTCCATCCTCATTTTATCTATACAACCACTCTAGCGAGTGTGATGCCTTATTCTCCAGTTGAAAACCTGGCGACCCAGAGAGTAAGTAACAAGTCTGAAATCCCACAGCTCTGGAGTCAGACCGACCTCTATGGGAACACTTTCCTCAGTACTTACCTACGTGTGTGCCATTAACACCAGTGGCCAGTTGCTTCTCCAGAGTTCTGAGCACACACAACTCAGTGGTGGACTGGGATTTCAGCTCAAGTCTTGCTGACGCCAGAGATTATGTTTTGTGGCAGAGACCACAAGAGGCTCACCAAGCCATCATCCTTTACCCCCAGGCACTACATTTCCCCCCTGGTATGCGAGGTGTGGCCATGTGGGCGAGAGTGATGAACACCGCCTATTGACCAGGCCATGGAAACTTTCTGTACAGGCACCCATGGCCTCTCCTCCCCAACCCCTGCTGCCCTGTGAATGCAAGGCTCCAATGGAGGACACTGAGCTAGATGGCTGGTGTTTTCATGAAGTAGAGTCCCCTACCCTCTGCCCCTGCCTGAGGGTCCCCACCTCCAACAGTGTACCCCTCCACCCTGGAGATGTGAGCAAGAAATCAACATCTATTGTGTTAAGCCATTGAGGTTTGGTTGCTGATTGTTTAAACCACACAAACCTAAACAGCACTCCCTAGATTGTTAATTGTAAAGCAATATTTAGGGCAAATGGCAAGACTGCAGCAGTTTTATTATCTTAGCAAGAACCAGGAGAGGGTCCACAGGCGTGCTTAGAAGATTTGATGTCCATTCATCCATTTGAGGCTACACACCTTGAGGGCAGGCCACAGACTAGAGTCCTAAGAATGAGCTGGACAAAGGTTGAAGGGAGGTGGAGAAAGCTGAGCCAAGCCCCTGAAAGCAAGGAGGAGAGTCAGAAAAACGTGTGACTCAGAGTGTGCCTTGGAGAGTCTTCAGGGCAGAGCAGGGTGATTTCTGTCTACAAGGACAAACTGGTGCAGCTGAGGGCAGCTCCAAAAAGGAAAGGAGTTAAGGCTCCCTCCTGCCCTGCATGCTTGCCAAGTGTGAGAGGAGCCTGCATGGCTGCCATACTGGATGGGCAGCCTGGGCCACCCAGCTGAGATCTGGCCAAGTTCCTTCCCAGGTGGCCCCCTGAAACACGAGCTGGCGTTGTCTCCAGGCAGCCTGCTTTCCGTTGCCACTCTCTTTCTTTCTCTTTTTCTTTCTCTGCAATCTCCTCTCCCTACCACCTCCCTCCTACACATAAGTCAATGCATTAGGGAGAGATTGACAGTCCCCTGGGGCAGAGAACACCCTAAACCTACAAGCAGACATCCCTCTGCCCACCCACACATTGTGCCCTGAATATTTGAATGTCAACACCCAGGGTGCCCTGCCTGCCCATGCCAGAACCATTAAACAGCCAATGCCAGCATCTGGATCTGAGAGCTGGCAGAGCTAGGTGTGCCTCCAAAGGCAATATGTTTGCTTTCAGACCAGCTTGAATGGGGAAGGAGCTGCTTTGCTGGCAGCCTTGGTCCCCATGACAGAGCTCTTCTAGCTTGGCTCAAACTAGCATAAGGCAAAAAGAAACCTGCATGCATTAAGAAGCCATTTCTGAAGCCATCTGTCCAGGCTCCAAGGCCCCTATACTACCCACCAAGTCCTCTCACCAACACAGCCTTCCAGATTCTAGTGCAGTCCAGCCCTCAACCCAAGACTGGGCTGCTAGAGAACTTTCTCAAAACCCAGATTTGGGGAGTATTTCTGCACCCCTATCCCATAATTTCAGCATGCAACAGCTTTCTCTTTGCATTCAGAGAGGGGAAGCAACTTGCCAAAAACCACACAGGTGTGATGAGACCCCAGCCTTGGTCCTAGTGTCCTGGAGTTCCCCCAATCAGCTGAGAGGTATCAGTTCACAGTTCCAGAGAACAGCTTGGGAAAAGCCGACTTCTCTAGGTCAAGAAGGAAGGGGGAGTCATACAGGGAGTGCAAATAAAGCACCAGGCAAATATCTGAGAGAACAAACATAAGGAATGATGATATATGTTAGGGAAGGGAATGGATGGATCCAAAGAAGAAAATGCAAAAACAGCAAGCAGGACATGACCTCCATGCTCAGCATTATCCAAGGAGGGTTCCTTTTGTGCTGAGTAAATAAGACCGGTCTGCTTCTGCCCCTATAGGAATATTAAGCACCATTCCTGATTCAGGTAGATATTTAACAGCTCAATAATTCATTCATTCATTTAGTTAAAACTGTTGTGCTCATTGTGTGTCTGACATCATGGTGGCAACTGAAAGATTAAAGATGTGGCCTCTGTAAGGTGGAGCTTTCCTACGCTCATGTGTATAGCCAGCCCCTTTCCTCCCTGCCATATTCAGATGATGGCTTTCCAGGTGGCAAGGATGTGTCCCCCTGAGTTATCCATGCTCCCTTGCCACCTTCACCCCTACCCAATAGCATAGGGGTAAAAGTGAACTCTGGAACCACACTGCTTGTTTTCAAAAGTAGGCTCTGCTCCTTCCCAGCTTGGGGATCTTGGGTAAGTTCCTTAGCTGTGTGCCTCAGCTGTTTCAGCTGCAAAGTGGAGTTAATAACAGAACTCCCTTCATAGAGTTGAGGACTGAATGAGTTAACACACAGTGTCTTAGCACAGTGTCGGATGCATAACAAGCATTCCATAAGCAGTAGCTGTTGATATCATTGAACTGACCACACAACAAAAGTCACTGCCAAACATAAGGAAGCAGTTGTCAATGGCCATAGACCTGAGCAAAGCTGAAAGGTTTGCATAGAAAACCAGACAATGAATCTGGCCTCCTTGCATGGACTCTAATCAGATAAATACAGGAAATCAAGCATTTATACATCTACAGGCCAAGAGATAAATGGATTATTGGAATGGTGATTGGCTAATAAGTTTGGAGAATTTCCTATTTAAACCTAAATATGAAAGACCCACTCCCGCTCTCTGGCTCTCAGCCATAGCACTGTTGTAGGAGAAAAGGTAGGTGAAGTGGGATGGGAGTCCCACACAGACTTCTGAGAGGGTGCTATGGCTCAGAACCAGGAAAGGCAGGGGTCCTAACAGGAGATCAATGTAAATCCAAGTCCTTGAGAAAGGTGATAGGTGGCCATGGCTAAAGGTTTTCACAATTTTGACACCATACTTTCCCTAGTGTCTTCCCACCTGCCCTCCCTCATCCCAGCCCAGGGTGGGGTCAAAGACAGAAGGATTTGGAAGGCTGGACCCGAAGTCCCAGGAAAACTCCTTTCTCTGTTCCCCTGGATTAGAAGATTAGGAAAACAAAGGAGCAATTCACCAGTGGATTCTGCAATTCTCCCATATTAGACTCAGCCACGACTGAGTTTCCACCATCTCAAGTGGCTGGAGAGGGGGTTGAGACCGGCTGTCTGGCCTTAAGCAGTGTCATTGCACAGATGCTTCTCCCAGAGATGCTCCTCTGCCTTCCTATGCATGCAGTGTGGAGGAGAAGGGAGTGAGTGTATAAGTGTGGACACGTGTACGTGTGTATATGGGTTGCTTAGGGGAAAATCAGAGGCAAGGGAAATAGGTACTGAGTCAGAAAATCTTCCACAGATCTTCTGTTCAGAAAAATGCATGGTTCCCACCCAGTTTTCTTAAATCAAGAAGACGGACAATGACCATGGAAACTGATACAACTGAACTGACTTCCAACAGAAACACTCTGCAAGACAGAGACAATTGGAAACTTGTGGAAAATTGATGAAGAAAGAAACATGCCCACAATTTCATCATGGACAGAATTTGGGTATATTTCTTCCAGTTTTTTTCCTCTTATGTTTCTTTTAAAATATGTATACTCATTATCATGCAGTTCAAACTTTCCTGGGTCCTGTGATGTCTTCTTTTTCTTAACACTATATCACAAGCATTTTTCCATGTTCCACACATTTTTATCCATCTAGCTTTCTTATACGATGAAACCGAACTGGAGGATTGATTGTTTTTGTTTCTCTTTTTAAATTTTTATTATTTTATTTTTCCATAAGTTATTGGGATACAGGTAGTATTTGGTTACATGAGTAAGTTCTTTAGTGGTGATTTGTGAGATTTTGGCTCACCCATCACCGAAGCAGTATACACTGCACCATACTTGTTGTCTTTTATCCCTCACCCGCACCCCCGCTTCTTCCCCCCAAGTCCCCAGAGTCCATTGTATCATTCTTAGCCATTGCATCCTCGTAGCTTAGTTCCCACATATCAGTGAGAACATATGATGTTTGGTTTTCCATTCCTGAGTTACTTTACTTAGAATAATAGTCTCCAATCTCATCCAGGTCACTGTAAATGCTGTTAATTCATTCCTTTTCATGGATGAGTAGTATTCTATCATATATATATATACCACAGCTTCTTTATCCACTCATTGTTTGATGGGCATTTGGGTTGGTTCCACAATTTTGTAATTGTGAATTGTGCTGCTGTAAACATGTGTGTGCAAGTATCTTTTTCTAATAACGACTTCTTTTCCTCTGGGTAGATACCAAGTAGTGGGATTGCTGGATCAAATGGTAGTTCTACTTTTAGTACTTTAAGGAATCTGCACACTGTTTTCCACAGTGGCTATACTAGTTTACATTCCCACCAGCAGTGTAGATGTGTTTCCTGATCACCGCATCCACACAAACATCTACTGTTTTTTGATTTTTTGATTATGGCCATACTTGCAGGAGTAAGGTGGTATCGCTTTGTGGTTTTGATTTGCATTTCCCTGATCATAAGTGTTGTTGAGCATTTTTTCATATATTTGTTGGTCATTTGTTTATCTTCTTTTGAGAATTGTTTATTCATGTCCTTAGCCCACTTTTTGATGAAATCGTTTGTTTTTTTCTTACTGATTTGAGTTCATTGTAGATTCTAGATATTAGTCCTTTGTCAGATGTATAGATTGTGAAGGTTTTCTCTCACCCTGTGGGTTGTCTGTTTACTCTGCTGACTGTTCCTTTTGCCATGCAAAAGCTCTTTAGTTTAATTAGGTCCCAGCTATTTACCTTTGTTTTTATTGCATTTGCTTTTGGGTTCTTGGTCATAAAATCCTTGTCTAAGCCAATGTCTAGAAGGGTTTTTCCAATGTTATCTTCTAGAAGTTTTATAGTTTCAGGTCTTAGGTTTAAGTCCTTAATCGATCTTGAGTTGACTTTTGTATAAGTTGAGAGATGAGGATCCAGTTTCATTCTCCTACACATATCTAGCCAATTATCCCAGCACCATTTGTAAAAAATGGTGTCCTTTCCCCACTTTATGTTTTTGTTTGCTTTATTGAAGATCAGTTGGCTGTAGGCATTTGAGTTTATTTCTGGGTTCTCTATTCTGTTCCATTGGTCTATGTGTCTATTTTTATACAAGTATCACGCTGTTTTGGTCACTATGACCTTATTGTAGGGTTTGAAATCAGGTAGTGTGATGCCTCCAAATTTGTCCTTTTTGCTTAGTCTTGCTTTGGCTATGTAGGTTCTTTTTTGGTTCCATATGAACTTTAGAATTGTTTTTTCTAAGTCTTGAAGAATAGTGGTGGTATTTTTATGGGGATTATGTTGAATTTTTAGATTGCTTTTGGTAGTATGGTCATTTTCACAATATTGATTCTACCCATCCATGAGCATGAGGTGTGTTTCCATTTGTTCATGTCGTCTATGATTTCTTTCAGCAGTGTTTTATAGTTTTCCTTGTAGAGGTCTTTCTACTCCTTAGTTAGGTATATTCCTAAGTTTGTTTGTTTGTTTTTTGTTTTTTTTTTTTGTTTTTTTTTTTTTTTTTTTTTTGTAGCTATTGTAAAAGGGGTTGAGTTCTTGATTTGATTCTCCACTTGGTCACTATTGTTGTAGAGAAGAGGTACTGATT